AAAGTGCAAGTAGTTATACTTGTAATATTATCATTGCTATCTTTAAGTTTTATCGACTGGCTCTATTAATCTCACAGCCACTCACTAGAAGTGTTTGTAAAACACGCCCCACATTACCAAGCTCCCCAGCGAAAACACCCACTCATGAAGCTCACGGGGATTCCTTCTCTACCCCCCCATAACGATTCAGCGAGTGTCCAGGCCAATTAATCCACTTTTATCCCTGTTCTTCCCCTCGATAATGGCCAATGGACCTAGAAATGCAGGACACGCAGAAAAGAAAAGCCAAAAGAAAAGAAAGGGAAAAAAATCATTCAGGAGAGAAATGGCCGACACTGAGAATGTCATTTTTTTCTCCTGCTCCCAGGGCGTTGACCTAGTTAAATTACTGGGTAGCCTTGGGCAGTATCATGGCTATCGTACGAGTTTCCTTGTCCGGGAATGTGAGCTCCTGTCACCTGGTAACCTTCCTTGCCCCGTCGCGCCCTCTTAAACACCAGCAACATAGCGCAAACGCAGTCTCACCCCGTCGCCCCGGATTTCAGTCTCTCGGATTCTTCCCTGTCCCGGGCAATTTTTCGGGATTTGTCAAAAGACACTTAAAAATACAACTCTATGTCCTGCACTATGGATGCTTTTTTCAAATTGGATGGGAGTTTAAAAGTTTCTAACCCCTGTTGACATGGAGAATATATCCGTTGTCCCAGATTATGAACCTATTCTTGCCCAAAACCTAATATCACCACTGTTCAATGGCATCGTTTATGCTGCGAGTGCCTCGTCGCTAGGAGATCAATGGGGAAATTGCTCATGTTGTGCAAAGTTGGAACATGCCAATTTCAGAATATTTGTCATAGATAACAGACCCATGTCTTTGCAAAGAAAGGCATGAGACCGAGCCTCTGCAGTATGTTGTGCTTTCTGGTGGTGTCTGGAAGATCCGCTGGTCGCGCGGTCAGATGGGCCCTCTGACAGGAAAAGGAAATCTTCTGTCAAGTACCATTGGGCCCTCAGCTCATTCTACTTGCCTTATGTTAAGAGGGTTTCTCGATCATTTCGCGCTCCTACATGATTCTTTGCCCAGGATAGCGTGCTCAGAATTTTGACCATGCAAGGCAACGGGGTACGGCTGTAGCTAGTATTGTTGTTTCCTTTGGTTCCTACGTTTATTATTTAATTGACAGTCTTTTTTCTTTACCATTCTCATAAGTCTACCATTGACCGTTGTTCTTGAGAGTTGTTCCTGAGAATGCTTGAATGCAGCCCACAATCCTATTATCCTTCCAACCCCAGGGCCCCCATTGTGCAATCGCAATTTATCTCATCTCAGATATATCTGTCCAAGCAAGGAATGTACTCGTATACACAGAACGAGTATGCTCTTCGGCGGCGCTATGAATCTAAGGGCTTGACTAGCGCCATTAGAACTTTTTTTTTCCTCTCTTTTTTTTTTTTCCAGCAGCGATCTTAGGTTAGGACCGCGGATCCATGATCGAGTAAAAGCAGGTGGATTGCGCCAGTAATCCCGCGGCATGGTGTCCTGTACGGTAACTTACTTGCGGGGTGTTCCTCTCTGCTCCAATACCGGTAGCCCACCTGTAGATACGAAAGTCCTTTTATCATACCCATAACTGATCATCACAAAATTTATTAACCAGGAGTAAAGGCTAACTATTTTGAATACCTTCAGATGTTTTTGCTCTTTGCAAGAGTATCGCCCCATATTAGTATTTGTTTATCAGGTAGATCATATTAAAATAATAAAAGAATTTTTTTCCTAAGCGGCGGCAGTTGAGTATGTCATATTAATTCTGTTCTTTCTAGACTAACAGCAGCAGCAGAATTTGCGTAATCATCGGTGGCATCTATGGTCCCTTGTTCTGTTAGCCCCAATCTTTTTTACCAAGCTCGTCTCTTATAGACCCTCTTAATAGTTTATTGACGGAAACATCAGGGACGTGAATTGATTCTGTAAATCTAGCTGGCGTAATAGATGAAATAATATCGTGACTTTTTAAGGTAAAGTACCAGAAGCTCGAGAAACCCGTGAAAGCGAGCTGTTCAACAATAACGTGGCAAACCACTACCAGACTGGCACCGCCACACCTTCTCTTTGCCGACTTTTTCCGGATTATTGCTGCCGGAGTAGACTACGGTGGATATCAGGCTAAGAGATCAGAATAAGGTGTGGCTCAGAGATTTTCTTAAAGCCTGATATGATACCCGTCGGCTTCTCGGTAGTTTCCGTATTCCCTTTAAACAAGTGGAAAGGTCTCGAAGACCAGGCCCTGGGGCGAGTGTTTGATTCAACCATTTATAATCCTGGTATGATATCGTACCGTTTATGGGCCACACTGTCTTTCAGCCATCTAGGGTGGGAGTTTCACTCGATTATGCGGTTTTATCGTCCCGCCCGGTATTCGCCGAGGGCCGCTGTTTCCAGTTGCCCGCGGTGTTAGAGTTTTGCGCTGTGCGGGTACGGTATCGGTACAGTACGGTACTCGACTATCGGGGGGGGTTCGCATAAGTGAGGCAGTTTCAGTTTTTATGGGTTAAAATTTGGTGAGTGTATCCAGACGACGGGCCAATCTTTGCTCTTTTTTTCGCAGACGGAACACCGAGATATCAGGCGAAACCACTACCCCTCCTGCCACACTGGCTCCAAGATACCGGTACGGTATTGCTTTACGAGTGGCCGAAGCTTATCCACACAGTAGCTGCAGGGTACAGTAGGGAGCTGTTCGTCCTGGCATCAATCGTGATGGTGGCGATGGGTTAGGGTTTTGCTTAATTTAGCTTGCGTGGGGAGCGGAACCCATGCCCTCGTGTTACTCGAGTACAGTACTCGTACAAGTCTCATACGGAGGTTTTCTTTGATACCGGTATGATGTGAAGTGAAGCCTAACTCGGGGTCTCGTGCGGTCTCCATATCGGAGCGAGTTTGATAAGGGTAGCGGTGGGGTTGATCCCCCATGTATGGGAGGATCGACGGCGAGATTGGCATTCACAGAGGTGGGGAGGTACCCGTGTGTCCATCAAAATCGGGAAGACCAATACCCCTGCCATGCAAGGTTAGTGAGCAGAAAACAACGAAATCTGGAAAACGCGAAGACTGACCTTCACCCCAAGAACCCGCAGTATGTAATAGAAGAGAAGATGGTGTATGGGAGGCAGAATCCAGAGAAATAAATGAGAGAACCTTGGGAAACTAGAACAAACTATATCCCCCTCTTATTGTCTCCACTTTTACCCCTTGGGTGGCATTACAGTATATCGATATCCTATTTGGTATTATCATGATAATATTATAAGATATCTCACTTTGTGCAACATACCTTGTTAGGGATGTCTAGTTACATAGTTGAACCCTCCAGGCATCTTATCCCACCATCCCCCTGATCCCTCTTTTGCCACACTTGGTTTCCGATTTTAAGGAGACACCCGAGTACACTACCTTGAAGTTGTATGATACCCGAGCAGAGCATTTACTCATACCACCAGCCGCAAGATGTGGGGAGTTTTTTATTTTTATTCTCGAGATCGGCGGTCCCGGCATTTAGGGGGTATGACGAGCGTCTCTTCGTTTATACCCAGTAATCGTCAGTTGCTGCATATGTGTGGCGATAAGCCCAAACATTCCATTAAATTCAAATCAGTAAAGTACAATCAATAACGCACTGCACAGTACTCATCAGACCACTCGATGTTCTGTTTCTGACTCACAAATACAGTACAGTACAGTGCCGGTATGATACAGCTACGCCCTTAAAGTTCCCATGCTCTTCCTTTCATCCTAGGAATCGTGCCTATTTAGCTAACAACGTTAGGAGAGCCACAGCCCCCTGGATTAATATTTCCGGATCTGACTCTAGGGGGATTGAGAACTTTGACCACAATTTTTTTGATAGAATCGCGGAAAGAAAGGATAGCAAAGTGTTCCAAGAACAAGTGGTACTAGACTTGGGAGGGTGTCGGAGTCTCGTGTACGCGACTACACTTGTGCGGGTAACTTCTCCATCTCATGGGATACCCCCGCCCACGGCTGTGCATCCGGCCCGGACGAAATGACTCCTTTTTCCTCGAGTACCGGGACTCTACCATATCAGTCCCGGATAAATGCCGACAAGGCGAACTGCCCAAACCACCTCCTAAGGGGCAACTATTTGGCCAGGTTCAGGAAACACGGTGGTCTCGCATGTATTTGGTCTGCAAAATTGGGATGGTGGATCATACTGCCGGTACTGCACAGTACTGTACCCTGCTAGTTGCTTTATCGATTCTGGAAGTTGTGAAGGTACTAATAACTTAACGTTTGACCCTGCAGCGAATTTCTGCAAGGTGAAGAATTGGAATTATTCGCCTCCATTTATAGAAAACTCGCAGTCCGCTTTGATCTTCCTACAGCTTTTGCTCCCCACATGCAAGGCTGTTCTAGAGAAGGATCAACACGTTGCCCGGGGAGTACCAGAAACCGCAGTTGTGGAGAATGATCAATTGAAGTGTTACTGTGGTCTCTTGTGCAACAGCGAAGCACTGCCCAGGGGAGCGAGGCGACATTAGGGCTGAAGCACTATCGGTACTGAGTACAAAGCCCATAATTATGCCGTTCTAAAAACACTCGCTCACAATCCTTATGTCGATTGCGGCACAGGTTTGATCTCGAGAGCTCTTTTAGCTAGACAGTGTTCTTCTAGGTCTTTATTGTCGTCTCGAGTGACTGGGAGTGATCCTGATTACCCTGGTTTTCTATTGATGTTTCAGATGCCCTGAGTGTTTGAACAGTTACGCTCGAACTTGAGATCACGGGTCCCCGGACGGCCGTAGAGGTGCCGTACCGGTAGTGGCATATAGCAAGGGAGAAAAGCTATTTTGGGAACCGTCACCACCAGCCGCGTTGAGTGGCATACCTAACCGCGCAACTCTGCCGATCCCGTATATAAATCCTCTTGAACCCGCTCTTGAATGGAGAGCTTCATCATGATTCCTCCCCCGCGGAAAGTGATCTTCCCAATGAGGTCGGGCACGCCCTTTGTTTCCCTGGCACTAACGCCAAGACATCATTCTTGGTGGGTATAAGCGAAGCTTGTGCGATGTGACAGGATACTTTGGTTGGCTGAGAGGTAACCTAGCGCTTACTCCAGCACCCGATCCAACCCCCTCGCGCAAACCCAGAATTGGGAAGGGGAGGGCTGAACTTGAAACCATTCTTCTCATGCAGGGGCCTCCAATGGGTCTCTGGCCAGCCATCCGATCTGGAGCAATTGGGTCGGTGGAATAGGGTAGTGGGAGGGGAATAATCTCTGTTTGAACCTGCAAGTATTTCCTGCGTGTCGCGCACGCTATTTCGCTGGAATGACCCGGCGAGGGGTTGGCGGAGATTGTGGGAGTAAGTATCATCTTTGTGCCACAGCACAAGTCTTCCAGAAATAGAAGCATGGACGTGAAACTTACCATCTTTGAGATCTTCCCTTTTTCTTCACCTTCTGCCTCCTGCACCCTTTGCGATCGTATCATACTGTATCCACCTTACCACTTGTACAAGAAATGGTACTTTTAGGGTCTACTATACTAATGCGCTAAAAGGGCTCCTAGATTTTCACTTCGTTCCTTTTCACCAGAGGGACCTTTGTTGTCCTTTATTTTTAGACATCCCCCCCTCCCTTCGATCGATTTGACTGCTATTCATACCAACAGCTCGCTGTGAATACGGTATTAACTAAACAAATCGAAATGGCCACAGATCGCTCAGGTACTCATGGACTAAGTGTTGTCTTCCGCGGCAGAGCTGAGCCTGTACCTTCCAGTCCGGAGACGGAGAGAATTATTGTGGGCATTGACTTTGGGTCGGTCACGCACTACCACCGTCCTTCCCGTTCATCTCCGCAAACTGATCCCCGCTAACGTCATCTAGAACAACACACAGCGCGATAGCATGGGCACAGACATCTTCGCCAGAAGAGTACGAAGTCATCACACAGTGGCCGGGTCAGTCGGGAAAGGACTGGGGAAAGGTTCCTTCGGATATCTCGTACACCACCAATCGACCAGCTTCGAACCCGGCCCCCGGTTCGGCCCCAGGCTCGGCCCCATCGCCATCGCCTACCCCGAGTGTAAACTCCGAGAGTAATATCCCGCGACCCGAGAGTACGAGTAGTGAGGCTGCAGCTTTGGGGTTTAAATGGTAAGAGTCTGCTAGGCGCGGGTTGTTTTTCAATTGCTCACAAAGGATATATAGGGGCTTTGAAGTACCTCCTACGGACCCACAGAAGCTATCATGGATAAAGATTCTACTGGACCCATCTCAACCACGCCCCAATTTTGTCAACCCCAAGAAAACGACCCTCCCGAGGGGGAAGAAGATAGTGGATATTGTTACGGACTACCTTGGCGCTCTAAAATCCTACACTGTACAGACTCTTGAGCGACGGCTCGGGAAGGAGATAGTGCAGAGGTCCAAGGTAGAATATGTGCTTACTGTACCGGCAGTGTGGAGTGATAAGGCCCGACAAATGACGATGGAGGCGGCTATTCGGGCAGGATTAGGTGTCGGTTCGGAGGATGGTGGGGCCGGGTTGCTGAAGTTAATCACTGAACCCGAAGGAGCAGCAGAGTATGCGCTTCGGAGTATTCAACCCAATTCCATGAAGGTTTGTTTCCCCTCCTTTTTTTCCGTTGAAAATTTGGGGTAGGGTTAGGGTTGACTGCTGCGGTTGGTTGATCCATGCCTTTGTATGAGGATAATGCATAAATGAAGGAAACACACTTACCTTGGAACAACTAGGTTGGCGATTGCTTCGTGGTGTGCGATGCCGGCGGTGGAACGGTTGACCTCATATCTTATCGTATATCTTCCTTGGTACCATTGCAACTGAACGAGGTGGCTATCGGAACTGGCGCACTGTGCGGCGCCGTCTATTTGGATCGACGGTTCGAAGATTTCGTCTCCAAACGGATTGGGAAGGATACATTCAATGCGATGGATCACAGGGCTCGGTTCCAGATGAACCAGTTTTGGGAAACCTACGTTAAGAGAGAATTTGTAGACGATGAGGGAGTCCAAAGGGATGAAGCGGAAGAGGAGGAAAATGAGAGTAAATTATTTTGGGTGCCTGTAATGGGTGTACCGGATGATGAGTATAAGGGGATTAGGGGAGGATTCTTGAAACTTTCAAGGTTAGTATGGCCCCGAGTGATGGGTTGTGCTGTCGCCTGTCGGGATGTCTAAGGAACTAACGGGGTTGGGAGAATAGGAGGGAAGTGAAGGAGATATTCGAGCCTATAGTTGCACAGGTTCTGGAGTTAATATCTAAGCAAGTTATTGAGGTGCTCAAGTCCGGGAAAGGGCCAATCGCGGTAATAATCTCTTGTGGACGGTGACATGCTTGTGCTAAACTTCTGTCAGGCTATCCTTCTAGTGGGTGGATTCGGTTCTTCGGAATATCTCTACCAGCGGATTAATAGATGGGCGGCAGATAAGATTGATGTTATGCAGCCACGCAATGCTTGGACGTAATGCTCGCCTCTCCCTAGATTACTTTGCATGCGCTAATAGGGGCATAGTGCGGTTGTACGAGGTGCAATAATTCGTGGACTCCAGGGCGATATCGCAGCTGTTCAATCACGACTCAGCCGGCGTCACTACGGCGTCGTCCACGACTCTAGGTATGATGAATCGAAGCACGACGAATCCGAGAGGGTATGGCATCCGCTGCGATGTGAGTGGGTAGTGAAGAACAGGATTCAGTGGTACATTCGACGGGTAATGAGCCTCGGGTATTTTGGTGACTCGGAACTCACTGACATCTGCAGGGCGACGTCACGACGGAACGGAGGAAAATATCCTTCCCCTTCTATCGAACAGTCGCCGAAAGCGATTTGGTCGGCGACACACATCAGCTCAAGACCGAGCTGTGGGTATGTGACGAGGAGGCAGCGCCGGATAAGCGGGTCAAGGGCGATGACTGTATTCCCCACCTTTTCCCCCGCCACGCCACTCGAGTGATGCTGAAATGAAAAAAAAAAAAAATGTGACAGCCGTCCGAAAGTTATGCGTTATGACCTCGGAGCCAGTGCCCGTAAGTCGATTCACCACGCACACCAACGAGAAGGCCGAGACCTTTTATCGGGTCGATTACTCACTCGACATGACGGTCACTTCCGGCGTGGTGGTGTACGAGATGAGTTTGGAAGGGGAGAAGGCTAGTGTCGGAAGGGTAACGACGAAGTATGAGTGATCGCCGCAGGCCCATGACTGTGGAGGGCTGTTCGAATATATGTACCGGTATCAATTTTCTCAGTAATCTTTTTTACTCTCTACTTTGTATCTTAACTTGGCGCTGAGTGTTTACGCGGAGTGTGATGGAATGAAAGGTGGAGACGGGTACACTGCATTGTACCGGCTCGCCACGCATCATTCAATCCTCAAAATCTCTACCCGGGGATTCATAAAGCATTCGGCTGCCTTGGCGCCAAGATTCTATGTTTAGGCGCCTGTTGGCATATCTTGGCGCCAAGGTATTTGAATACTTTTATGAATCCCCAAGTACCGTATTATTACACTGATCCTCCCATTGCCGTCGCATTTGTCATACCATAATTTACCTCCCCTTACTCCCTCGCCCCTCATGCCAGCGCCGACATCCGCATTAAACCCTGGTAAATACCTGTTCGGCTGTGGCGTCTGCCATCGTATCGAGATATCACGCGCTATGGCGAGGACTAAAGCCATGTGTCCCTTCCGGGAACGAAAAGGGAGAAACGCGGAGGGGGGGAATTCTCTCGGAGATCCAAGAGTATTTGGACGATCTTTCGAGCTTCGGGTAGAGCACTGTACAGTACTGCGCAATACTTACAGATATCCTGCTAGACCAGCCTATCGTTGTTTCTACGATACGATATGTGAAAAAATGTACCGTACAGTACTGTACAGTGCCATACAGCCCTCGTAGGGTAATTTGATCCTTTTAATTTTTGTCTCCTTTTTATCGTAGCTCTTCCCCTCCCCCCAACTGGAGGCAGTCACGCGGAGGTGAAGGACTAGAGGTACAGTAGGTGCCTTTCACCCCCCCCCCACCTCATTAACTTGCTTCGTAATTCAGTGCCGGCTCTTCCGGCCCGTGAGGCGCTTAGCTACAACGTTACGTCTCGAAGGTCCCTCGCCTGCCCGCTGACTGGTACTTGTATCCCCGGATGGCCTAGCGCGGTGTAGTGATTCCAAGTGTCCAGGGCTCCCTGTAGGCACATAATACTCGTACCAGACTCCAGTCCCGGGCGTCCCGGGCGTGGTGTCTGAAGCCGCAGGGCAAGCGAGTCTGTGCCGGCCGTCACCTATGCCTGACGGGTATTTAGTGGACATTAAGAAGTATCATAAATTTATTATCTTGAACATTGATGGTGGTATCACCGGATATGATCCGTTGATTCTTCAACCAGTCATCCATGAAGCGATTGCGATTTGCTAGAATAGAATAGAATAGATGGAAGGCTATTTACCCTTTATAAATATCTTCCAAGTTACTACCTAACTTTATCTCTATCACTCACATCGAGAATCTCTATGCCGGTGTTACCAACACTTCCGGTTCGCCACTTCCTAACCCACTGATACCGGTACTGCGGCGAGTGTCGAATAGAGTTTCCAATCCCAGTTACAATTCCGGGTTCTCGTTCACCGGGTGCAATCGGGTTCGAGGCGCATTCCACGTTTCTAGTCTTCTCCGTCCCTTTGGAGTTCCCCTTTACGGGGCGGGGGGGAGTTGGCTAGGTGTGCCGTGATTAGTTTGCCCGCGTGTAGGCGTAGGATGTTGGGTTTGTCACCTTGATACCGGATGTTGGGTATCCGGTGTCGGGTGTTTGGTTTTGTTGTTTCGTTTAGCTCTATTCGGCTCGCATTTGCATTTGCATGTTGTGCCCTTGGGTAGCGTCTCCACCGATCATCTAGTTCACCATCCTCCCACGCTCCGCTGTGCCCGCGTTGATCGAGTTCTCGCCCTTCCATCCTTTAGTGATTTCGCCGGGTCGACTCGGTTGGCCGGTAAATTGCCTGAACAGCTTCGTGGAGGCCTGCTAGTGAATGGGTCACGTGTATATCATATTTCCTTACTAGCTGTCTGTGCAAGGAATCGGGCGTGCGGTCTATTTATCGGTTGGACACCCGAGGTGACAATTCCCATAGAGAGTGTCCCACTTCAACTCGGCTGCGGGAGTAGGTGACCTACAACTCACACAAAGGCACACCGGAATCAATCAAAGTAGCGCGTAGGCTTCACGAAATTGCTTCTGCTTCTGTAGTGAAAAAAGCCGGCTGATTTTTGTCACCCTCATGTCTGTTGATAGCTGAAGCTTTGTTCCCCTATACGAGATATTTCAAAGCATTGCATTTTCCTGCGGAAAACCAATAAGGTTCAACATATCCCCCACCCACCCATCACCCTCCTGACAGTTTGCCCCCGGGTCTACCGACAGGGGCCCGATCCATTTCTCACCGGAACGGATTCCATATGATTCCAAAGGAGTTGACAAGCTTTAGTTTTTGATCAACGTGATCAAGGGGGAGATTTCTGGGTGCAAAACCTTTCAATTTTTCCGCGTAAGACGCGCGAAGCTGTCATACTCATGACATTTTGCGCCAAGATTAGATCCCACCCCGTCTCCCACTTTGGCCTTCTCCCGTTACCCATCTTATAATACCAGACTGCGCCATGACTTGGCGTCGAACGCGCTAAACCCGTCGCGGGCAGTTCTGACAGTAGGGGAAACCTGAAGAGTGGACTGGTGGCGGTGCTGGTACGGGTACTGTACAGTAACTGGGCAGGACTACGCGAAAACTGTGATGAATTAAGAAGGGGTTGGTTGCCCGGCCTACCGTGCTTTTATGGTGAGTTATGACATTTCCGGTGTGGAACGTGCATGGCTCGTCGCTGGAGCCTTCCCTCCCCAGGCGGGGTGATTTTGTACTGTACAGTGCTGTAAATTGAACTAAAATTCTTTCGTACAACCCTCTTCATGACCAAACATACTCTGGTTCCGAGAGAGGTCTGGCCTGGCTGATCGAGGGGGTGGGAGGGAGTGTGATGTGCTTTGTGAGGGTCGATGCAACCTTCAAGGTTTCCTCAGGGTAGCGGAGTTGGCGGAGCACTGTCGGTAGCCACCATACTAGGTTTGCCTGATCGTGAGCGCGCCATTATTGCGTATTGATATCACAGTTTTATGGCTGGTACTTGTAGTGGTCGGTATTTGGATATGTGGTTGAGGTTTTCCAGTTAACTAATATAGAGGAATGGGAAGAATGGGGGGGGGGGTATGCAAAACTCAGCACAGGTGGATGAGGATCTTGGAGGACAAGATTTAATTGAAAACCACTCCTGGGAATCTTTAATTGAAAACCCCTCCTGGGAATCCTTGAGTCGGTGCTTGGGATCTGGTGAGAGCAGCAAATTAAGATGTGAGAAAAGGGTGTATTGCCTTAACGAAGATGTGAAAGACCAGCGGACGCAAACGATGCGCACTCCGGCAAGGTCCGACCATTCCCAGTTCACAAAGGTACTGGGACATAAATCCACCGGGCCGACTGATCGAACAAGGACCTCCCCCCCCCCGCTCCCCACCACCATGTCCCGGAACCCAAAGGTGCTTTCTGAGCAAGCGAATATCCACCTAGGACAGCCTATCCATCTGCGACATTATTTTTATGTTTTGAGGGCTCAACGTAATTAGATAGGAGGAGTAAGAATCGGGTTCCTCATGACTATCTAATGGGATCTTCGTGTCGAGCGCTGCTCGGAGTATGGATGGTGCCGTGTTGGGTTGGGTGGGTTCGGGTGGCACTGTTGAAATATGCTATCGCTGGGTCATATAAACATGTTTTTTTAGCTTTTTTTCTTAGAACCGGAATGGACACTCACCGTGTATACTGTATTTGTATTTGTGTCTCTCTTATTTGAAGAATTGGGATCTCTTATGTTTCTCTGCTGCTGCTCAGTAGAAGTAAATATGTCTGTATTTAGACACCCCCACTGCTATGTACTTCACAAACACATGCTGTACATATTATAATAGCTTTCAATTATATGTAGATTTCAAAATCCGAGGTCGAAACACCAAGACTACCCAATAGCATCTGAAACCACTAAATTAATACCTTTTCCTACCTCCAACCCAAAATTCCCCATGCCGATAACAAAGCATCACCAAGCACACTGAAAGCACACCATTGACTATAGCAGCATCCCTCTCACACAGGTACCCGCCGAGGAATACTGTTGGCATCCAGATAGCAGCAATGGTAAGGAACGGTCTGACTCGGAATTGGTGGATAAGGCCTTCCGAGTACGAGCGGATAATTGCGATTTGTTAGCCATTCTAATTCACATCGGATCGGCGAACTAAGGAGTGAGAGGACTAGTATTGACCTTGTCGTAGATATTGGATGATATCAATTTGAGCCGGGGCTCCCCCTCCCCTGGCCAATTTTCGCTTCTCCAACCTCCCCCTACTACCAATATACTGCATACCTTGCATGCCCTCCATACCCCCCTGTATCCCCTCCTCCTCCATCTCATGATCCACATTCCCCTCGCCCCCCTCCAATTTGTCCCCTATGGCACTTTCGTAGGTATGATTATTGGCAAACCAATTACTGCGTCTCCGGATCTTTATCATGGCTCCTCTGTATTCAAAGATATCAATTGGCTCATGCAAGGTAGAAGCTGAGTAGGGGCTCCCACTGTAGCGCTGGCGAGGGTACGGCGCATCGCGGATTTGTGTGTTGTAATGGTGTTTCGCGAGTCCCTGTATGCTGCCGGGAGATGGGGGTGTGTATTTGCTTTGAGGACGTGGCGTGTTTGCGGAGGGATTGGATTGGGTGTTCATTTTGAATATTTTGGGGGGCGGATTGAAGAAGAAATGTTGGAGTGCGAAAGGTTAGGTAGCTGGCACTGGGCTGTGTGATTATATACTTTCTTTACCTGGAAGAATACTATGGAATTGCTGGTTGCTGTGTTTGTATATATTGTCTGCTGCAGGGCATTTCACCTAAAGGCAGTCTGAATAGTTGGGATGGACAGAAAAAAACATCGGATGGGTAAAGGCAACGTGACGAGAAACACACAACGTTGACCTTGACCCCAATACTATGGTCATGGCTTTCTTTTCTGTTTTTATAACATACGAGATCTACCATGCTCGTGGGGGGGGATCCTGGTTTTTTCTTGTTGGAAAGACAAAACTTCCACTACTTGTAGCGTCCGTTCCTGACTCCGCAGGCTTTGGCAATTGGACACAATCTCAACAGGTAAATACAGATCTCAAAGGGTACTGTAGAATCTCAGATAATTAGACCTTTCACTATGCATTCCAAAACATCACCTCCCCGGAAAAAATGCATTAAAAGGCTAGCCATTAATCTCCTCTGGGAAGCATTGAAATAAGGCAACCCAAACGACAGAGCACACTGACTACCCAAGTACACGAGGAGATCCTACGGTAGTCAAGCCCACCATTCTCAACCTGTTGAAGAAGGGCGAAAAGTTACCCAATTCCGTTCACAACTCCTC